CTGACAGACCAATTTTATAAATGTTCTCTTCTTATAACATATAAATCTGTTAATTAATCAGATAAATAGAGATAAAATATGTTGCTTGTGTGAAAAACACTGGGTGATCAGTCTGAAGTTTGGCCATTTTCGTTCTCGTTCCAAATCTGACAGATCAATTTTATAAATCATCTGAAAACAGAGGGCGATTTTCAGAAACAACCAAAACGTAAGTCAAAATACAAATTGGATCAAATTCAGACATTCAAATCCGATCTATGAGAAGAAGGAATGACCTGGTAAGAGTCGAAGGGTTGGAAGATAACGAGTACTTCCGATGCGATTGGGCACTGTTTCTTCCCCCAGGATTATGTGAGGATTACCAAGTTCACGTACACCCTTCGCTCTTGCCCCGGGGAGTTGGACAATCCGATTAGCTTACTTTTGGTTGACTACCTGTTGTCCAGACTAAATCTGAGGTCAAAGCTTTGTCAAGTTCGACTGATAAGTATCGAGAAAATTGTTAAATGTTTTGAATGATTTAATTGTTCGCATTTGTTCTAATTTTCACCATCTTGTATAATTTTGCTCAAGCCAGGTAACACCCTGGCTGTATATTTTTTCTGTAATTAATAGGATCCAGATAAGTAGAAACCCTTTTAATATCTCGAGCAGAATTATTGATTGAAGAAAATTCGGTACAATAAGAAAATGTTGGGCCTTGATGAATCATATAAAACTTTTTCGGTTATGATCACAATCCACCCTCAGGGTACTTAACGCGGTATTGTGAGGGGCTCCCCTCAACATATTTTGTTTATTACATTGCTAAATTATCAAAAGAAATTGATTTACAGTTTGTTAGAGCCCCTCTGAACATATGTGCGTTTACTTTTGTTTTAAAAACAAGCTTATTTATAATGAAAACACCGTTTAAAATGCATCAATTGTTACAAATAATACCTTTACATAGGAGGACAGTTGCGTAAATATTTAGTTTTGTTTTTAAAATTATTTAAAAGTAACGTTTCAAATTTTGAAGAAATGTTGTTGATAATAAATTCTCGAAATATATAAAGAAAGATTGGTAAGTAAGAATACAGGAATATAAATAGAAAAACTATAAAATAGACAAGTAAATAGATTTAGGTGTTTAGATAAATACATTGGCATATAAATAAATAGATTGGGAGAAAAGTCCAGAGAAAAATAATAGATATTCATGAAGATAGGTACCAAAGTAAATAGATAAATAGAAAAGTACAGACATGGGGATAAAACGATAGATAGTAAGGTAGAGAAATAAAGAGGCAGATAAATAGAGGAATATATATATTCCTACAAACTAGCTAACTAGGTAGATGGATAGAAAGATACGGAGACAGATAAGCAGATAATAATTAGATATTATTGAAAAGAAAGTTGGTAGAAAAATGAAAATCATGCTCGCTAGCTACATAGATAAAAAGTTCGGTAAGATAATTAGCAAAATTAGTAGATAGGAAGAATAATAGATAGATTAAGGGTAGTAGGTATATCGGTATATGGCAAAGGAAGAATGTACAGAAATAAACGGAAATATAGATACCCATGTAGGCAGGTAGAGAAATAAGAAAATAAGAAGATATGAATTAGAAATAAATAGATAAGAAGGTAAGGTAGGAATAAGTGAAGGTAGATAGTTCAAAAGATAGATAGAAAGGAAAGTAGTCAGGTCACAACCTTGCTAACTAGCAATAGATAGATAAGAAAATAGGTAAAAAGGAAGAGAGACAAATAGGCAGGAAGAACTATCAAAAATTAACTAATAGGTAGATATATAAACAGAAAATTAGATAAGCAGGTAGAGAGATAAATAGGCAGATGGATAGGAAGGTAGGTAGAAAATTCAAAATCTAGGTATTGATAGACAGATAGATAGAGTAGGTAGAGAGATATGTACAGAGGTAGAGAGATATATAGGCAGATATATAAATAGGATGATTAGGATGATACACAGGGAGGTAGGTAGAAAGAGGAAAAGCTAGCTAACTAGCAAGAGAGGAAGTTAAATAGATAGATACTTATACAGAACTAAAAAGATAGCTAGATAGTAGGTAGATGGATCAAAAACTACCAACTAGCTAGATATATAGAAAGATAGGTAAGAAGATAAGAGGATAGATAGAGAGAACAATTAGTAGGTATGTGTTGTTAAGTAATCAGCCTTATCTTCTCTATTCCTTTTATTGTAAAACCATCGTCATTACACCTAACAACTTTTCGAGTGTTTAGTCTAACTCCTTGAGTGGAATTAAGCTAGGAAGATAAATAGATAAAATGAAAAATAGATGGATAAATTGATAGGTGTAATAAATCAGTCGGTAGGTGGATAATATCTAGTAATCAATAGTAAACTCTAGATATTTTAGTGATTATAATAAATAAATATAACCAGTGATTAGGAAATAAAAACAGCGAGAAAACACAGACCAAGGTTATTTTTAATTAAATTAATTTATTAGTTTTAATATTTCTCCCACAAACGTTTTGCCAGTTTTTTATCCATAACAAATTGAGGAATTGTTTTTGGTAGTTTGTTTATTTATTAAAATATGAACCAAATCAGGCTTGTCGCCGTTTTTAAACGCCTGCAGATCAAAAGAAAAGGTCGTACCTTTTAAATTAATTAAGGCGTTTAACAAATAGCAATGTCGTGTTTCGATGTTATCATGTCTTCAATATTTGTTTTATCAATGTTTCAAAATTTAAACGCGTTTTGGTAAAGTTCGCCTTTAACACGCAACACTTACAAAAATTTCCTCTCAATGTATTAATTATTCATCTCAGAACCTTTCCCTCCTCACTCTCGACCAGCACTTTAATTTTAATAGAAGCATTCGGATGATAAATAGCTAACGAGTGGGCTGTAAGCTTAGACGATCAAAGCGAAACCTCACGGGGCCGCACGGTGACAGTAAGTGATACATATAGCTTTCTCGGGTTCTCGCCTCCCATATACCAACGCCCTTCCACCTTACATTTCTGATGAAACTCTCCAATCATTGCCTCCAAATCCGTCAAGCTATCAAGCTCCCCTACTTCAAATTTATTCCGATCCTTAAGGAGGGTGGGCAAGTTTTTTTTTCAGGAAAGTATATAAACATTCTGTAAATAAATATAATTCAATGTTTTTACCTACTAGTCTTCTAAAATTGTGCAAATAGGTTCAAACGTTGTTAACAACAAGAAGTAAATTTTTTAGAAGATAGAGAATATACGATTGACACCACATTTGTCCTCAAATTGATCTAAAATGTTACTTGTATAAAAAAAAATTGTTTAGTCGTTACATGTAGTATTACCGTACTCGATCATTGAATACTGTTTCAAAAATTGATTTCTACTTGATTTTTAGATTTGTGCAACTTTATCCTTAATTAATCTTTTTACATAAGGTTTTGGTCGAAATGAAAAAGTTAGTGTCACGAGCGGGATTCGAACACACGACCTTCGGCATTATCCTTAATTTCGTTGTTTAGTATAAAAAAAAACATCCTATACAGGGTGTTCGGCCACTCGAGTTACAAACTTTGTCAGTAGATTCTACATTCAAAATGGAACCAAAAAATCCTAATTAACTATTGTCCGATTCTCCAAGGTTTTGGAGTTAATCCTCTTTTTTTCTGATTTTTTAAGATTTCACGACCTTGCTTCAAATGAACAATTATAATTTCAAAACTAAAAGGTTTTGGACAAATCCGTTCATACCATTGAAAACTACGTTAAATTTCCAATAATATCAATACTTGTAAACTTTGGTGAAATAAGCGTTTTAGTATCCAGGATTTTGAGAAATAGTTTTTGTTTAAGTTAAGCTTTTCAATTATGGTGATTCTAAACTACTATTTCCAAACCTAGAGACCAGCAAATTTCAGAAAACGTACTCCATTTAATATCCTTTTTAGTAGTGTAATTGCTTTTTTAATTACTTTTTCAAAGATGAAGATATTGATGAAGGAAAGGTAAAAGCCGTGATTGGCGTATCGGTAAAGTGGAAAGATTTAAAAAAAGAGAGAATTTGAATGAATTTATTAAACTTTTTTTTCATTTGGGTTTGAAATCGAAATAGTACAAGAATTTACTTATTCACCAGCAAGACTGCAATTTTGAATAAAGGATTATTGTATTATTATTCCCCGGAATATAAGTTTTAAGATTCAAAACGTTTTTAGTTCATTCATTCAAAATTTCCTTAAGTTTTTTTTTATTATTCCACCTTTTTTTCCTTTCCTTCATCAATTTCTTCAGCTTTGAAACAAGTAATTAAATCACTAAAAACTATATTAAATGGAGTACGTTTTCTGAAATTTGCTGGTCTCAGGTTCGGAAATAGTAGTTTAGAATCACCATAGTTGAAATACTTGACTTTAAAAAAAATATTTTTCAAAGTTCTGGCTACTAAAACGCTTATTTCACCAACGTTTACAAGTTTAGTATTGATATTATTGGAAATTTAATTACTTTTCAATGGTATCAATATTTAATTAAGTTTTCAATGGTATCAATGGATTTGTCCAAGACCTTTTAGTTTTAGAGTTGTCATTGTTTATTTGAAGCAAGGTCGTGAAATCTTAAAAAATCGGAACAAGGAGAATAACTTCGAAACTGTTGAGATTCGGACCATAGTTAATTGGGACTTTTTGGTTCCTTGAGTGTAGAATAGAGCAAAGTTTGTAACACGAGTGGCCGAACACCCAGTATAAACAAAGAATGATGATACTCTAGTGTTTAAAAGGCAGCAGGTCTCAGAGGATAAATTGAATTGTTTTCAGATTAAAACTATTTAATTTTGATAGTCCTGATGTTTGGTCTTAATCTTAAAATAATTGGCAGGATAAATAAATCATCATATAATTATTATTAATCAAAACCCGATTTTTTCTAGTTCTTTTTTTGTCTATTTATGTTTACACAATTTGTTTATTGTCACTTTAGACTGGATATATTACTGCATACTGTAAACATTGAATTGTATTTACCTTGACATTGTAGACCCAAAGAGGAGCTTCGTTGCAAGCTGAAAATCCGACTTCTCCTCCGAAAACGTAAATGGAATCCTTGTAAGCCACCGCCGTATGCTCTTGGAGATTTGGAGGCTTATCCCCGCTTGGGTCGAGCTGTTCCCAAATCCCATCACCTTTGGACACAAACACTTGTCTTTCAGCACATGACAAACATAAGAAGAAGAATAAAACAACAAGGGGTTGAAACGTTGAAGATTATTCTACAAAGCTTCACTGTTGACGTTGATGAAATCATAAACTCTGACTGATTTTGAAACATATTTATGTATACTTACTCAATGAATATCTCCAAAGGTCTTTCAGGGGAATGTTTCCATTTCGCCCAGCAATGAGGTAGAGGTGGTTGCCGTAGAGTGTCACGCTGTGTTTCGATCTAGAACAAGGGATTTTTCCATTTCCGTCATTTTTCGGTGTGACCGGAGTCCACATCTGAAAAAGCAAAGGGCCCAAATGTGTTATTTGAAAGCCTAATTTGTAGAATGAACGTTTTACAAAACGCCACCCCCAGGGGAGTACTAATTTGATTGGAAGCATAGGTTCCCCCGGGGCTTGGGTTGCCGGGGGTAGTTTAATCAAGAGTCAATCCACCGCCATCGATGCGATATTACACGGGGATGGTTTTAATTTTTAAACTGGGTTATTCGGAGCCTGAAGATCGTATGGTATTCCAATAATATCAGATGTCAATAACAACCGGCAATATTTGGCTCCTTGCCTACTTTAAACACCTAGTCAAGTCACAAACCACGAGGGTTTTTCAAAAAACCATAAAGCTTCCTTGTATCCTGGATTATGAGCCCATAAGTTAAAGGATTATAGTGACTGTAGCAAATTTCTTTCACCTTCAGAGAATAGGCAGACCAAAATGATAGGAAACGAATAAATTACAGGTTCATCATCCCCCAGATCACGCGGAAGGATCTCACAATTTTTACTCTATACTGTATTAAATAATGTGAGAGGAATAAAACAATAATAGTGTGACATTTTGATAGTTTTGTTTGAATTTATTGACAAACTAATTTTTTTTTCGCCCAAGGTTTTTACATTTAATATTTTTGTAGATTCAATCAGATGAGGTCAAGATATTTTGTAACTTAGAGGTTTTTGAGGTTCTTAAGAATAATATTATCTCAAGATGAAGGTTTGAAAGGTTCACAAACGGAAAAAGATTTTTTACTTTAAGCCAAGTTGCAGGCAAGGCTTGGCAGACTAATGGCTTAATAATGGTTTTACGAGTGGCGTTTAGGGAAAAACCAGGCTTTAAAAACAATGTTCAACAAGTTGTTAATATTCATCCGAACTGGGAGCCGATGCTCGCCCGGAAACGAAGCTGAACATCCCTAAAAGCTGAACTGCAGCAATTACCGAGATGAAAGTCACCAAGATTAAGACGTTCGGATGGAAGGGGGACTAAGGAATTAAGTTAGAACTGATTAAATAATTAAGCGCTGAGTAATATTCAACGCGACCCTCTGGTTGTGGGTTGATTAAAATTCGTGAACAATACAATTCTATTATAAAAGAGACGGTAATATATTTGAGGATTGCATGTTGTTTAATGCACTGGATCATTCACTCTTCCCCTATTCAATATCGCCGGTCGGCCTGGTGGGAGCCGCGAACGAGCTTGCTCACAATAAAGCTCTCGTTTGAAAAATAGGTTGTCGAAATAAATTGTACGGTCGACAGATTTTATATCGACACAAGCGCTAATTTTCTATTCACAGTGAAATTGCTTTGGGTGAACAAAATCTCAAATAAAAGGTTTCCTCTTCATTTGTACATGGGAAATGAAATGGGACTATCGACATTTAGGCAGGGAAAGAGTTAATTTCGAAAATGACGAGGAATGCGTAAAAAACCTACCAGATTCAAAAGAATATAAGGCAGCCAAAATATTTAGATTATGGCCCGTGGCATCTACAATCTCCATTCTTCCACTACGGCCTAAAAGATTGTGGAATTGGCCATCTTTCGTACCCCAGAAAGTACCTTTAACGTATGTAAGCACTTTCTGGGATTCCTCTTCACTATTTTCTCTAGTCGTTAGTGCCGCCTTTCCGAGTGTACTAATTCCGGGCTAATGCTTTGCAGTCATATTAATATATTTTGGTGCCTCTGCTGTTTCATAGCGTATATTTGTTTTCTGGTTGAGATTTTGAGGAATTTGATTGATTTGCACTGGTGGATTAATCCAGTTTGGTCTTTTCTTTCTCAATCTGTTATTCGGTTCCGTTTTTGGCATGCTTTGGGCCGAACCAAGGGTGTGAACTGCTCTTGTTTTTGCTATTTTGTCAGCCTATTATTTGCCTTCAATCCCATCGTGTGCATCCACATAGACCTGATTGTCCTGTTACTTGATTTCGTTTTACCATTACTTGCGTATAGCTAGGCATTCCTAAACCAGCTTTTAGACGGAGTTCTACTGCATAAATCTCTTCATGGAATATTGATGGGCTAGAGGTTTCGCTATATAAAAATTTGGGCCTTTGTTTCCTGCTTCAACTACATGTTCTATTTGAGATCCATCTGTATACAGATAGGCCGCTAGAAACTAGAAGTTTCATGGATTTTATTTATATTTATCTTAATCTATCTAGATCTAGATCTATTTATATTTAATTTTGACAGACATTTTTGTAGCCATTTCTTTTATTTTTATCTTGGTTTTCTCAGGTCTGGTTTTGTTTGTTATTACTTGTGTATCCATCCTCTGGATTCACGTATGCAACAGTGGCAATTCCATGCCACTTCTATAGCTGATGTTCATTAAGTTATTCAATTTTTGCAATTTCGTTAATTAATTTTATATTTTTTCCAAGGTTTTTGGCCACCATACTTATATTTTATATTATATATATTTTTGAAAACAGTAAGAATCATTAAATCCTTTGGCTAAAAGACTCTGCTGAAGAATTATTGTAACAATTCTACATTGCTGTCGACTTCCTCTCTCACCCTCTCTCTCTCTCTCACACTCTCTCTCTCTCTCTCTCACTCTCTCTCTCCATTCATTCTCTCTCTTTTCTCCTTTCTCACTCATCTCTCTCATCTCATCTATCTCTTTCTTTCTCGCTTCTATCCTCTCCTCTCATCTGAATTTCTTTCTTCCCCCTCTCTCTCTCTTTCTCTCTCCATCCATTCACTTTCTTTCCTCCTTTCTCACTCATCTCTCTCATCCCATCTCTATTACCTTCTCGTTTCTATCTTCTTCTCTTATCTCAATTTCTTTCTTTCTTTCTTTCTTTCTCTCTCTCTCTCTCTCTCTCTCTCTTTCTCCATTTATTCTCTCTCTTTCCTCCTTTATCAGTTATCTCTTTCACACTCACTTACTCTTTCTCTCTTCATCTGCAACTCTAATTAAAATTCGTTCATGTCTTTATCTGTCTGTCTGTATCTCTCTCTCTCTTTCTCTCTTTCAATTTCTCTCTCTCTTTCTCTCTCTCTTTCTCTCTCTCTCTTTCTTTATCATCTTCTATTTTTAGAAAGAGTCGTACAACCATTTTTATGTATAAACGTACCAAATTTTGTAGGTTTACTCTCTTGACATTAATATAAAAACACCTTGTAGAAACCGAAAAATCCTAAAATGTTGAATATTATCTTAAAAATAAATAGAAATAGATTATTTGATATTAGATGCTTTTGTCCACATATTTTTATATTAAGAAATCGTTTTAACACACTATAAAATCGATAAAACTTGTAAAGAATTGGTATGATCTGAATATTTTTAGTTTAGAGTTTTTTTAAAAGCACTGTTCATTATTTAATACGAATCTTACAGTTCTAAAAAAAAGAAAAAACTAGCGTGTGAGCGGCTGTTATAAAACTCGAGTAATACGCTTCGCATGAGTAAGCATATGACGTGCTACCCTGTCAGAGGTACTTATCGACGGGCACATCCCTTTCATGTGGGGATTGTCTGTTTGTTTGTTTTGTCTATAACGAAACGATATCCATGGTTGGATAGGGTGACACAGAGTTATTAGGGTAGAATGTCCTTTTCAAGCATAAAAAGGGGGAGTTGTAACGAAAATAATGTCTTACAGCCACCACCTTATCAATACTTCTATATTGTATACATAATGGTTAGATCTGTTGACAAGAGAAAGCTCGAGAAAATGTTAATATTATTTTAAGTAAAAAACATGCTTTGATATAGAAATGAATGTAGTAGTTGAGAATTTACACTATTTGACTTATAAAATCTATTTTAAAAAGTGTGAAAATTATATTTAGTGTTTTAAGTTTGTAAAAAAATGAAGAATAAGCAAGTAAGTTACAGAGCATTTTTTTCTCTTTTCGGTTCGCTTATAATTCACGTCCGAAAACAATTTTTTTGTGAGAAGGGTTGAGGCGCAAACAAGAGGGTTAGCATACAAAAGACCCCCTTCTTTTAAGATGAAGTCGAACGATTCTCCGTTGTAGAAAAGTGTTTCAACACAAAATCGATAGAAATACACCCAACAAAAAAGGTAATACAATTTTATTATTGCAGAGATTTATTTTTACCAATCTTCTTCTTGGTGAGGGTACGGGTGAGTCTAAACTAGGAGATATTTTATTCAAAAAGGAGAAATTGTCCAGGAAAGAGGAACAGGTGTTAAATCTCTGCAGTTCTCTCCCCCTTTTCTTTTTTTTCTTCTTTTTTGATTTGGTCTCAGATCACATTCGGTCGTCATTGCGCGTTTCCCCAACGGACGGAGGACGGTAAAGTGGCCATACATTTTTAAAAAGACTACGTTTTGAAGGGGACGTGAAACTGTCGGCCGTTTTCACTACTCTACGAACTGGAAAACATGTGCAGAGGACTAAAACTTGAAATTTTTAACGTTTTCCAATTTATTTTGTTTACAATGGATAAACCAACGGCGATTATTTCTCTAATTTATAACATCATCTTTTATAACACTGTACCTATTAATTATATTATCTTCCACCGACATGTAAGGATTATATACGTTTAGAAGTGAGAGGGGATGTTCATATATCCATTTTTTGTACTAGCCTTAAATCTGTTTGAGTGCACGGCTAAACAAATTTCCAATTGTTTGCTAAGCATTCAAGTCATCATCAGGGCCTGTGGAATCACGGGCATTTAAAAATCACGATAAGTACAATGATAACTTACAAAATTTTATAGTTTAACACTTATTTGGGTACTTGATAAGTGTGTATCTATCTATTTATCAATCTGTTTCTAACATTAAGAAGTTCATAAAATATTTCTCACTGAGGATGGCGTAAGCCCAAACACTTTTGTGTGACATCTAATCACCGGCCCGTGCATGAACAACCGAAACCAAATTTAACCGAAATGTACATGAGCAAAGCTGGAAAATCATACTACAACCTTCGTATATGTCTTCAATAAGCAATTGATAAACATAATTTTTGATAGAATAAAAAAATTATATCCTCCG